TGCCGTTGGGGGTCTGGCCGTGCCGGTCTGCTGCGGGGACAGACAGACAGACACGGGGTCAGGAGGCAGCGGGGAGGTGCGGTGGTCTCTGCCCCGCGGCAGCGCAGAGCTCTCCCCCAGAGCCGCACAGCTCCCGCGGTACCGAGGGACCATCGTGCTCACGGCGCCTGGTGGGGATCGACACCCTCACCCTGGGCACAACACAAACAGCGACTGGCTCATGCAAATGCTGAGGAATAAATAAAACTGAAACAAGGAGGAATATTACAGAAATTTACAGTACTCTTGCTCAGGAGAAGTTCTGTGCCACGCCTGTACGTCCCTTCAAAAATCATTCGTCTCATCCCTCTTGCTGTGCTGGAGACCCACGCGCAGGACGCAGACTCGCTGCTGTGACTCTGCACCCTGCAGCCTTGCTGCAGTCAAATGCTAATGCTTCTGCTCCCAGTTCAGAGAAACATTTAAATGCAAGGCCATCTAAAACTCCATGAGCAGTCTTGTGATTTTAAAGAGTAATTTGAATCAATCATGTTTTGCCAGTCCCAAAAACTACACTTGTAGTATTGTGCCTAAAACATCATCAAAGCTCTGAAAACTGTAACAGAGAAAAAGACTTTTCATCTCTGGTGATGATGTGATTTAGGGCACAGCTTGCAATGCCAATTAGAGCCCACTGGGTGCAGAGAGAAACACCATTTTAAATTGATGTGCACTTGGACACCATGAGGGCCTTACCACTTCCTTATAATCAAATGAATTTAACAGCAGAGCTGTACTTGGTCTAGAAAATAGTCCTGGAAAAGCGCCTCAGTGTTCTTCCTCTCGGGGTACAAGGCCAGCAGCTGAGCCAGCCCTGCAGACCCTCGGGACTGATGAGCTGTGGCAGCAGGAGATGCTGGCAGCACACAGCCCACCCCCAGCCCAGGCTCCCATCCCACCAACTCGGCTCCTCAGCTGCATTTGCATCACTTTGCATTTTTGCCTCTGAAGCCACAAAACTTTTACACCGAGCTTCTTATATGCAAGAACCAGTCTTAGCTTAGCTAATGGAGAACACTGCGAGTATCATCAGAAAAAAAAAAAATCCCCATGGAGTTTGAGTCGTGAGAAGATGCAGCCTCTGTCTGCCTTCCCTTCTCACTGAACAACAGCCCTCGCCGTCTGCTGTGCCCAGGGGAAGCGCAGTCCTGCTGCTGCTCTCTCCATTGCTCCTGGAAAGGTGTTAAAAGAAACCGGAGGGTGAGAGGCAGGTGAGTTATGAGCGGACAGCTGGACTCACCTCCACTTTCTTCCACAGAAGCACCGAAGAAGACGGGTCTTTCCCTCAGAGGACGTTTGGAAATGGTGATGGGTTTGTGCCGCCGGGCAGCCACCCTGGGAGGAGGCACTGGGGGGGCGGTGGTGTCTTCTGGGGGGCCAGAGTAGATCTGTAAAGGCAGACATGTTTAGATGACCCTCCTGTCCCACCAGGTCCAATGATACCCTCTGAGGCTTGCCTCCTTCACCTGGTGTCATCACAAGGCTCTCACAGCAGAGGATGGAGTTCGGAGGTTGAGCCATGCTGCTGCCTCTGCCAAGGGCTGCCCGGCTCCTCTCTGCTCTCCAGCACGTGTGGAAGCTCTAACTCACCCAGGAGGGCTGGAAAAGCCAGGGCTGCTCCAAACCATCCCGACCAGCCACGGCCCAGGAGAGCCCCGGCAGCCGTTTGCTCCAGCCCTGTGACCCAGCTCCTCCAGCCTCTCCGCAGAGGGACAGCTCGGTGCGCACCAGCCGCTCTCCAGGGTCAGCAGCACCCGGGAAAGCCCTGGCTGCTGGGGCTGGAGAGGGGCTGGAGAGGGCTGGAGAGGGGCTGATGCTGCAGTTATGGCTCTACAGTTATGGCTCTACAGCCATAACGCTACAGCTGCAGTTATGGCTCTACAGCAGCGTCCTGCCTGGGCTTTCCTACGGCCAGGCTGCCTGCTCCACACCTTGCACACCCACTAAACTAATTACTGCAGCAAAATCACACAGACAAAATGTGTAGAAGCAAATTATCCTGGAGCAGATGAAGGAAGCTTTGAAGCTGTCAGCCTCTGAGAAACATCCAGATTTCCACCCCAACAAGGCAATGCAATCTACAGAAAGCACCTTGAGCAAACCACCACATTGTTTTAGATTTAATGCTAAAAAAACACTTCAGCTCTTGGCTTACAATGAGGTGTGTGGCACTAAAAAATTATCTTGCATGAAATAGTGGCATAAAAATAATGCTGCTGAGGAGTTTATCTCCTTTCCTCACTGGTCACATGGCACCTCTTTGGTTGGGTTTAATTTAGAGGTTCTTATTTATGTCAGTGGTTTGGTTTTTTTTAAGAACTGAAAAAGAATTAAGCTTCCAGGCAGTCTCTTGAAGATCTGAAACACCACATTAAGGACCCAAACCAACTGCTCATGTTTATCCCATGGATATTCACTGAGTTTGTATCGGGCTTTAAGGACTGAGTTATCACAGACAGGGTGGCATGAGCTGACAGTGCAGAGCTGGTCCCTTCCTGGCTGTTGGCAGGAGACGGCTCAAGCCCAGAGGACGAGAGCTGGTGTCAGACCCACTGGCACGCAAGGTCACTGCTTTGTTATGGAAGAACAATCTTATTGTGTCACCCAGAAAAGTTTTAAAATGAAGAAATTTAACATTCTGATTTAATTAAGCACGTCATTTTTGTAATTCAAACCAAAAGCGTGTTCTTTCTTCTCCCAGACAAAGAGTAGTTCTGGGAAATCAAGGCAGGGGATGACAGAGAAAAACACACCCCAACTTTATCCTTCTTGATCCCACAGATCAGGCAGCATGTACCAGGGTGAGGGGCAAGGCTGGACCTGAGCTGCACCCAGCCTGGTCTGCCCAGGCTGTCACTCAGCAGGCTCGGTGCAAATACCGTGTGCCGGTACTCGGGCTTTGCTCCTGACTTAGTCTGCCCTGCTCTGCATGAAGGGAGGAGGAACAACACATTCAGGGCAAAGACCCAGACAAGCTCCAAACCCCAATCTGGTCATTCCAGCTCCTTTTCTTTGCTATTTGGTGACACAACTTGGCTGCTGATGCTTGATGCCAACAAGTTTCCTACACTCCAGAATACAACGTCTGGTGTCTTCCCCCTGCCTGGATTCAGAAGAATTTGCTGTGACATTGACAGCCCGTAATTAAAAGCAGTAGCCTGTGTATTATTAAAATAGCAAAGGACTACCTGCAACAGGGCAATTTTTTTGAAACATCAACCTCATTCCTATATATTGACAAGAATCCAAGATTGTTTTTTAAAGAAAAAGAAGTGTGAAGTTCCCTATGGATGCTGGGATACAGGTACCACGGAATGCTGTTCCCAAGAGATGCTTCTCAACACCTGAAAGCCATGCTAAAACCTGCTGCAAACCCCTCTTTAAGGTGTGGATGCAGCCTCTGCCTTGCTTCTGCCTTCTACATGAAAATCCAAGTTAAACAACTTGAAGGTACAAAGTTATTGACAGACCCTCATATTTAGAAGGTTTGTACAGTGAAGAAGGTGTTTCCAGAGCAAACAACTTATTTAATTTAACCATGGCACTGAAATACAAGCTGTGGAAACAGTTATTATCCACAAAGACTTCATGAAGAGTTACTTTGTCCTTAGGAGTCTTCGTATTGCACAATAGAAACCATATCCCTCTCTTCCTCCAGACTCATTTAGAGTGTTTGCTCATGTGTGAGCCGAAGACACTTTCAGTGCTGATGCTGAACTTACAAGCTCAATCTAATAAATGTTACTGACTTAACCTTATCGCTGAAGAAATTAAAAGCAAGCAAAGAGATGTCTGGCTTAATGAAAGATTTAATTCCAGCTCTTAGAGGCGGCAGTGTAAATGCTGGGCTGACTCAGCCGCAGCACAGGCTGTACGAGGGGGGAGGACAGAGGCTCAGTCCTGGAGCGAGTTGTGTGAGGACCCCAGCACACAAACAATTCCCTGTTTTGCTGCAGGAACTTATTAAAAGCAGAGACCTACAAAGAAACTGGCTTGTGATTGTCATGAGCTTCTTCTGTGGCTACTCAAAAGTCCTTCTGAGCTCTTTCATCCCGTTTCCAACTCCAGTCCTCGGCATCACAACTGACTCCCACACCACCCATCTGGTCCCCATTTGGTTGCTCTGACTCCACGCTCATTTTTGCAAGAACCTTGGTCTTTCAGCTTTGGCTTCGTCCTCCTTTCCCCAAAAGGGAGCTTCATTTCTGCAGGTGTGCTGCCCTGTCTGCTGGGAGCACTGCCCCGTCCTCCTCACAGCCTTTAAGGGATGGCTCCAAACCTACACGTGAGAGGTTGTTTGGACTCTGTAATGCCAAGTATTATGAAAAGCTGAAAGACCAAACTTACTCCTTCGATCCCAGCGCTGTCAGTAGGAAAGCACCCTGGTCCCTGGTGTGCTGAGCTGAATGCCAACACTGCTCAAATTTTTAAGTATTTTTAAGTACAGCTCTATCATCCTGCAGTCACCCTGAAAACCCTAAGCCATTATATCAGATATCATGAGGAGAAAGCACTAATAGAGAAGACAGTAGAATATTCTGCTTTCTATCAGGAGACAAAATGCCACAAACCAAAAAGCTGCTGTCTGCACGTGAATCTTCGGCGCCCACCACGGCAGACTGATCCAGACTGCACAGTAAGGCAACGGTCTCCCACAAAAATACCCAGCAAAGATGCTGGGAAAGGCAAATGCTGGTGGACAGCACTACCCCAACACGACAGGCACTGGCTGCCTGTCTTCTCCAAAGGCAGTTCTCTTCCTGCTCCACCGCCAGCAGCAGCTCCCCTCCACAGACTTGCCCACGCCATCCCTACAGCTGGATCTGAACAGATCACAGGCACAGCTGAATTATTCCCATCAGCCTTTCAATACTTGTCTGCTTTGGGTCTTCTCCTCTGTATTAATAGTCATATTGTGTCTCATCTTGAACTACACCCGTCGGAACCAGTTATGCTCTGGTCTGGCTCCTGCCCTCAGCAAAGGAAAGCGCAACGTCCTGCGATGTCCAGGCATACAATAGGTTTTTTTTTTTTCAATTAAGATACCTCTTATTTAAAAAGAAAAGCAGAAATCCCTAGACTCAGGGTTTCCTTCAGAACCAGCTAAAGGCAGCAGTAAGGAACATATTTGCTACGCTTTTTGTTTCCTTCTGAAGCATTTCCAAACAGTCTATTATGTTAAAAAATCACAGCCCCTAAGGAGACCCCAGAAACAGGAGCCAGAGCTCTACATCGTTGCCACAGCAACAGTTAGCATGAACGTGATAGAGCAGCCCGGAGCTGCCACCTGTACCTTCCCAAAGTGCTCGATGAGGATCTCCACTACTATGTTTTGGAACTTGATGTTCATCATCGCTGCCACGGTGTCCTCCTGCGCGCGCATGAGGGTAGGTCCAAATATCACCCCCATGTTGGAGGGTGACATCAGATTCTCTCGGCTGTGCTCACATATGCTGCGGAGAGGAGGAAAAGAAAGAATAGGGTTTGGTTTGGTTTCTTTTCAAGCAGATTTTATTCCAAGCAATAAAAAAAGGATACAGTAAGAATCAGTCATTCAATTTTCTTAATTTTGTTTCAGCAGAATTTGTTTCCCAACCCTACCAGAGATAAAATACGCCTCAAGCTGTGACACTCATGTTTAGCCAGGACAACTGTCTGGGAGAGCAACATGTTGGTAGCATTTTTATTTGCTCCCTTCCCACTCCGAGCTCCTCTTTGAACTCTGCAATCAAAAGTCATCTGCACAACACATACAGAAGAGGAATAATTTCAATCGGAATATCCCATTTATCCAGCACTGACTTTTGGCTTTGGTTTTTCCCTCTCTCTGAAGGAAGAGGGCTGAATGTAGGGAGCACACTTTGGAGGTTCTCAAGAAATCTTTACAGCACCTTGTTTCTGAAAGAACCACTGTTTTGACGGAACAGAGCTCGCTCTGTCCAGCAGCCTTTGAGCTTTGGAGGAACGTGCAAGCCTGCGGAGCAGCCCCAAGTGCTGACTGAAGCGTTAACCACCGAGGTGGTTACCTGGTTTCAGAAGTGGACCAGAGGAGACAGACTCTGATGCTGACATGCAGTGAATTCTGGGCTTACTCTGTAGCTCTGGGGTTAAAGAGGTTTCTGTCAGCACGAAGGGGAGAGGGAACAGAATTTAAGCATAAACAAGTTGAGGAATAAACACAGCGACCGCAAGTAGAGCGTTAGCTTCACTGGCTCACACGCCAGACACTCTCAGCTCTGCCACTTACACAGAAAGGTTTCTTAACACCACACAGGCATCTGCACGATGGGCGGGAAGAGGATCCCCAGCCAGCCCTCCTCACCCCAAAGAGCAGGCACAGCACCGAGGGCCAAGCACTGTCCTTCCAGTGTCAGGGTGTGACAGTCCCAGGTCAGCCCTGCTTCTTTCTCAAACAGCTGGCTTGAAAACAGCTTCTCCAGAGGTGCAAAGCAATTCCTGTCACACAAAAGCCATTGCTTCTGCCAGCCCTGGTCCTTCCTGACCTGCACACAGATTGCTCCCTTGCTTTTGAGCTCCAGCACAGCTCAGAGGGCATTTTCATTTTAAAATTATTTCCTGCTTGGTGCTTGACAGAAAGGGGATGGAAGTGGCAGTGAGAAAGAGAAGCATGACTTCATGCAGGGGGTAGCAAGGATGACCACACCATTTGGGCAGTCCAAATGTAAATTCCTAGGGGGACTGTGGTGGATGCCATTTTGCAAACCTGCCACAAAAAAAAGGCTTGTTCTGCCCATTCTGTTATTCCCTTTACTTTGGCTGTAGAGAAAAACATCTGCTTACTTGACGAGGTGTTGTATGAGGAGCAGTAACATCTCTCTGTTCTTCTCAGGTAGTTTATAGACCAGCGCGTGAATGGCTCCCAGTCTGTAATCCAGGTTCTCAGATTCTGGAAAGAAGTAACACAAAGAGAAGTTTGTGCCCACCACTTTCAAAGGAAATACGTAAGAGAAAGATAAAGCTAAAGAAAATCTGTGGGAGCTGTTCCTTCTGCAACGCAGGGCTGGCTGGCCAAACCCAGCGATGGGAAGCAGAAAGTGAGATTACATAGCAACAGGGTAATCATTGTGAGAAACAAAATGATGTGGAAAGAGGGAGAAATGAAGCTTGAAAGGGAGCTCAGGGTCGCTCTCTGCCTCTGAGCAGGGCCGGGAAACAGGCTGGGCACAGCTGGGTACTCCCCTTCGCACCCTCGCCCCGCACACCTGGGGAACACGCGGCCTCTCTGCTGGTGTCTTATCAGCCCAGATAGCTGAACAACACCTCAAAATGTCCTGCCGGGAAAAAAATTGAGTCCCTGACCCAAAGAGGTCACCCTTAGAAGCATAAATAATCAAGAAACAATAAAACACTCGGTGTGAAAAGAATAGTGTGGGATCTTGGTAGCTGGGAAGCTTAATGGTGCAAGTTTCCGAGGGAGGGCAGAGAAAGGATTATGGTTTTGCACATACCCAGAGATCATAGGTTTAACCAGTTCTGAAACTAATAAATCTTGGGCCTGAGCACAATCGGTAGGTGGTGGAAAATTTTCCTTTCCAAGAAAGAACAAGTGATATTAATTCTCCAAAAGTCCAAACTGAGGGGAGGCGGGCGCTCTCCTACCCTTGCGTTGACTCCAGGGAGGCATGGGGGTGGGAAGGATGCTTTAATTTCTGTTCTTTCTGGTGTTTCTGAGTGTGCCATAGATTTCCAAATGCCAGCACTCTCATGCTGAGGGAGATAACCAACTCCTCTATCCCCTAGTCTCCATCTCAGCACACTGGCTCTCAACAGGCTCTGAGGACGCAGCCAGTTCAGAATTATTATAGCTAATTTGAAACGACCATAACAACAGGAGAGCTGAGGAGCGGCCAGTTGAGCCGAGGTGATGCCCTGTCAGTACACCCGTGTTACTGGGCTGATCTCCATTAATACTGGCTGTGGCTCAGCCCCAAGAGCTGCAGCAGATAAATGTCTTTCATGTACTGGTAGACATTTTGGATTCAATATCCTAGGACAAATTTCATGACCTAAAGGGAGCACCAATCTATCTGTGTGGCAACAGCACATCCCATTCCCTCAGGGGTTTTAAAATAAATATATTAATACTACTGAGAAACAATTCTTCTGGGAGCCTTGTGCTGATTCCAGGTGAGTTGATGTCCCCTGGTTCTCCAGACCCTCTGAGAGCATGAAACCCTGCCAGAGGGAAGAGCACTGCAACAGTGAAGGGAAGGAGGGAAGAAACACCACCACCTCCCTCGCACAATTAAGTGCCCAGAGGAGAGGGTCACTCCTCTCTCTACAGGGGGAAGTGGTCGGACACCCCGGGGCTGGGTTGGCAGAGCTCTGCCAAGTGATTTTGATGTACACTGGTTGGGGAGGGCAGGGCTAGGGACCATCTGCAGGGCAGCTGTGGGACTTACTGGCAGCCAGGACCAACTCTTTGTGGAGCTTGTACGTCATGACGGGTTCAGACAGGTTCCTGCAATAACCAGAAACAAAACTGAGCTCTGGCAGGGCAGCGTGACCCACTCGGGACTGACCTTAGAGGAGCGACCAGCAAAGCTGCTTACCCTCCAGCACCACCAGCTCCCACTGGCATCTCCCCCACAGGCAGTATTATTTAAACAGCTTTTCCCATAGGATGTGGGGTTTCTACAACAGGCATATTGCTCAAAAAAAAAAAACCCAACCCCAAAAAAATCCATTCCTCTCCCCAAAACCTTCCCCACTTTGCCCTTTCCCACAGCCAGATGTTAACATCTGGCAGTTCCCTCCATTTTTCACCCAGACCAGCCCCAAGCTCCTTCACCCACTTGGGGCAGGTGGGACCTGCAGTGCTACCTGAGATAAAACTTCAGCGAGCTGGTAATCGTCTTGATGTCCCAGTCACCACTTTGGAGATCCACATCCCCCGGACATTTTGGATCTGGAGGAAGAACAAAATGGCTTTAGTAGAAGGTCCCTTTTGAGGTTGTTAATAAATAGCACGCTCCCAGGGAGGGTGTGCTCTCGAGACAAATGACACTCCAGCAGCACACGAAGAAAGCTGCTGATTCTCACAGCTGGGAAAAGCAGAACAGCAGCACCAGTGCCGGTATTTTGGAGAGGCTGAGGAGCAGCGCTGACGAGGGACAAGGAAGGAGCAGGAGGTAACATTTAAGCAGCAGTGAGAAGTTAGTGAGAGCATATTCTCTATAGTTTGTTTTTTCCCAGCACAGCCAAGACTGGCAGAAACGTCACGTTTCAACAGATCCAAGACAAGCTGTCTGATATCCAAAGTAATTTAAGTGTCCAGCTCCAATCCCTCCTTCGCAGCTACTCCCCTGAAGGCTGATTCTGGAAACATTCCCTCTCGCTGCCCGGAGAGGAGGGAGCTCAGAGGAGGAGGCACCGCAGCGTGGAAGTACACTTTGTTCCTGCCCACGCTCACTGAACAACCACATCATTTCTGTGGTACGATGAAGTAAAGGACGTGGTTGGAGGATGGGGGGCAGCTGGACTAAAGAAATAAACTGCATGATTTATTTTTAAAAAGAAATAGGAATAGAGGCAAGAAAAAAAAAAAAAGAAAAAAGAAAATCTCTCTCCTTACTGGAGCTCAGGATGAAATCCTGCAGCAGTTCTGTCTGGTGGACTTTCCATTTTGAGCTCGTACACAGTGGGGTGGCAAGTGGTCAACCAGACCCGTGCATATAAATAAAACAAAAAGCCACTCGCTGGTGGGGTTGAGAGAAGAAAACCACAGAGCTACTCACAGGGATGGTGAGAAATCAAGAAGCAATAAAAAACTTAGGCTAAGTAATTAGTCATCAGGCAAGCATAACCGGATAGCTGTCTGGAGTCTGGGCTCCACGGGAACTGGGTACAGCTGTATGTCAGCACAAACCAGCCCTCCCAATAAACAACAACAATAGTAAAAGCCATGGTAAACAATAGTAAAAACTATAGCAAAAGCCTCTGAATGTCGTGAATAGCAGATGCCTGTGCAGGGAGCTGGTGCGAGCCCGAGGCACAGAGGGATCAGGGCAGGGACGGTGAGAACGGCTGAGCCCTTGGACGTGCAGGATCCCCACCCTCGGGGCTCACAGCCCGCCCTGACCCACACGTACCATGGGGCACGATGACCTCAGCCAGATCCCAGCCCAGGAGTGCCTGTCCCAGCGTGGAGCAACGGTGCTGAGCCCCACAGCCTGCTGCAGGGAGCACAACCATTTCCCATGTAAAAATATATATCACAGAATCACACAAAATCACAGAAAGTTAGGGATTGGAAGGGACCTCGAAAGATCATCTAGTCCAATCCCCCTGCCAGAGCAGGAACCTAAATGAGATCATTCCCACACTTGTACAAACGATGAGATTCAGCGTGAGAGAAGCCCAGGGCAGAAATGCACACGCTGCCCCCTGAATGTACATTGTCTGCAACGGGGTATCCCAGTCCTTCCTGGTGAAAACCTTACACCAGGTAACGTCCTCCCTGCAGAGGCACCTTCCCAGTACAGCTCCCGGCGACACCCCACTGCGCAGAAGGGTGCCCTGAGCTGGTCTGTGGGAACTGCTTTAGGAGGTGGCCATGCTGGACCCCTGGGACACGGCACCTCCCCAAGAACAGTATAGGCTGGGGATACCGCGGGATATCCGCTGCTGCCGCAGCTGGACCAGGAGCTCCCGCGGCCAAAGAGAGGGCAGGGGCTCAGCTCTCCTTGGCCAGTGTCCTGCAGCCCTGGAATATGTCCCCAGCAAGTGACTCCAAAATGCCTGAATATTTTTAGTGCCCGATGGGAGAAGGCTTGTCCCCACTGCTCCAGGGTCACTACCATGCTTTATCTCACTGCTGCTCCCTTCACTGTGAACGCAGGTCACACCACAAGCACAGAAATGCAGTTTAAAGGGAGAGGAAATGGAGTGGTTGCAGAAAAAAGCCCAGAAAAGAAGGGGAAGATGTGCCTGGGAAGGGTCATGGGAATGACAGCCACGCTGGACACTTCTCACTGTGAAGCCAAATCCTCCCTCAAATGGTACAAAACCAGGACAATCTAGTTACACAGAATAATCAGTTCTTACCAAAAAAGGCATTCAGCAACTTCTGCACCTGAATATTGCTGCCAACAGTCCGGTAGATGCCCTCCGTGGTAATCCCTAAGCAGGAGAAAGCCAAAGAGCGTTAGCCAAGGGTCTTCTCCAGCTGGTGGGAAGTCCAAAAGCCCCATCTAGTGGAACTCCAGCTGCTCTGGAGCGACTGATCCTGTTGCAGCCCACGACGGCGATGTACAGCAGTACAGGCTGGGTGTTTCATGGAATACCAGAGGGTGAGCAATCCCCCACCAGCCTGCTT